TTCCCTCTTAAAAATGGAAATAATTAAAAGAATTCCTGGCTAAATTTTGCTTTGACAAAATTTAACTAGGTATACTTTTTATAATCACTTTTGGTCTTAATGTGTCTTTATGTTTTAGGTATTTCCCTTTTACTAGTATATAACACTAGAGGCCCGGTGCACAAATTCGTACACCAGTGGATCCCTTGGCCTGGCCTGCGGAGATCAGGCTGCAGCCGGCTCTCTGACATCCCCCAAGAGGTCCCGGATTGCGAGAGGGCAGTTTTCGAGTTACACATGCCGGAAGCAGGCTCCCTCCTCTCTGGTTCCAGGTGCGTCACCTGAGAACCACAGCTGCCAAGTCACCGCAGCTTGGCAGCTCCTTCGTTGAGTGTCTGCCCCCGGTTGGTCAGTGCGCATCATAGCTACCAGACAGTCACTTGGGCTTTTATATATATACTAGAGGCCCGGTGCACAAAAATTTGTGCACTCGGGGGATGAGGGGTTCCTCAGCCCGGCCTGTGCCCTCTTTCAGTCAGGGACCCTTCAGGGGATGACCACCTGCTGGCTTAGGCCCGCTCCCCAGGGGATTGGGCCTAAGATGGCAATCAGACATCCCTCTGGCAGCCCGGCAGCCCTCGGGTGATGCCCACTTGCCAGCAGGGAGCAGTTGTTTTCAGGCTGGTGGGCGACTGAAGCTCGCAGCCTCTCCTTTTTTCTTTTTTTTTTATCCTGGGATTTATTTACCTTCTATAGCTGTCACTGGAGCTGAGAGCAGGCTCTAGCTCTGAGGCCGTTGCCAGCTGAAAGCAGGTACCTGGGTTTGTTTAGATTCTATAATTGAAACTCTGTTGCCATCACTGGCCGCTCTAAGCTCTGAGGCCGCGCTGGCTGAAAGCAGGTTTCTGGGGTTTGTTTAGGTTCTATAATTGCAACATTGTTTCGTCCAGAACTCAGATCTGAGCTGTGGCAGGCAGGGAACGTTGACTTACTCCATCACTGGAGTAAGCAAGCCTCGTGTTCATGTTCGCTTCAGCTGCCTGGCTGCTGGCCGCCATCTTGGCTGGCAGTTAATTTGTATATCTCGCTGATTAGCCAATGGGAAGGGTAGCGAAGTTATGGTTAATTACCATGTTTCTCTATTATTAGATAGGATATAGACTAGAGGCCCGATGCATGAAATTTGTGCACTGGAGGATGGTGTCCTTCCGCCCAGCCTGCACCCTCTTCAATCTGAGACCGCTTGGGGGATGTCCAACTGCCAGTCCCACTGTGGGATCGGGCCTAAACCGGCAGTCGGACATCCCTCTCACAATCTGGTACTGCTGGTTCCCAACCGCTCACCTGCCTGCCTGCCTGATTGCCCCTAACTGCTTCTGCCTGCCTGCATGATCACCCCCTAGCCACTCCCCTGCCAGCCTGATCGATGCCTAACTACTCCCCTGCCAGCCTGATCGATGCCTAACTGCTCCCCTACTGGCCCAGTTGCCCCCAGCTGCCCTCCCCTGCTGGCCTGATCGCCCACAACTGCCCTCCCCTGCCAGCCATCTTGTCACCATCTTGCGACCACATGGAAGCGGCCATCTTTGATCACATGTGTGTGGCCATCTTGTGTGAGGGCATGATGGTCAATTTGCATATTACCTTTTTATTATATAGGACATACTTGAATTTTGTTTCAAATATTGAATTAGAATTCAATCTAATAACCTCTAGTTTGTTGACCTTTTTTTTGTAATTTCTGATATATTTTACTGTCATTACAGTTCTATTACATTGATGTCTGTTGTTATTTCGCCTCTTTCACTTTGATTTTGTTTATATAGGTCCTCTCTCTTTGCTTCTTCGTGAGCCTGGCTAGAAGTTCATCAATCTTGTTTATCCTTTCAAAGAACCAGTTCTTGGTTTCATTGATCTTTTGTATTTTGGGTTTTTTTTTGTCTTTATGTCATTGATTTCTATTCTGATCTTTATTATCTCCTTTCTTCTGCTCACTCTGGGCTTTTTTTATTGCTTTCTAATTGTTTAAGTTGTAGAGTTAGATAATTTATTACCATTTTTTCTTATTTTTTGAGGTAGGTCTGTAGAGCCATAAACTTCCCTCTCGGGACTGCTTTCACTTTGGATTGTGTTTGCATTGTCGTTCATTTCCAGGATGTTTTTAATTTCTTCTTTGGTCACTTTGGTAACCCAATCATTGTTTAATAGCATGCTATTCAGCTTCCAAGTGTTTAAATTTTTTTGTTTTTATGGTAGTTTATTTCTAATATTATGCCATTGTGGTCTGAGAAGATGCTTGATATTTCAATCTTCTTGAATTTGGAGAGACTTTGCCTGTGACCCAATATGTGGTCTATCTCTGAAAATGTTCCATGTGCACTTGAGAAGAATGTATATTCTGTGGCTTTGGGGTGAAATGTTCTGAAGATGTCAATTAATTTCATCCGACCTAGGGAGCCATTTAGGATTGCTGTGTCTTTGCTGATTTTTTTGTCTAGAGGATTTATCCAGGGATGTCAGTGGTGTATTAGCATATATGTTTAGTAGGGTTATATCCTCTTGTACCGATCCCTTTAGTATTATGAAGTGGCCTTATCTCTTGTTATGGACTTCACTTTGAGGTCTATTTTGTCTGCGGGCCAAAGCTCTAACCAATGAGCAAAAGCAGCTAGGGCTCCAGTAATAAATCTTTAGTCCATGTAATTGAGATGGTCCTCAAAGGGTTCTTCCCCGCTCCCTTCGCCACACAATTACATTTCCCAGAATGAATGCATGACCAAGACCTGGGTTAATAAAGGATTCCACCCCTGCCCATTTGGTCATTTCAGGGATGGGTATATAAGCTAAACTTGGCTACTTGGAGCCTTTTCTGATCCTTCTGCCTGAGCCATTTTCCTCTGAAATTGTGAGCTACAGAGATACATTCACTGACTTTCCTGTTCAGGTCAGATACCCTATTCTTCACCCCTATAGTTCCATATACTTCTCTTTCATTGTCCTTCCCTCAAGCATAATTATCTGTGTAATCATTTTACCTATGTCAGACTCTCCTTACTAGGGGCTTATATTTTGTTTACTGCTCTATTTCCAACAATGCAATGGTGATTAAGTAGGTATTCAAAGTATGAATAAGTAATGTTTTAAGGCTTAAGGAGCATAGTAATATTTTTATTAGAAAATGTACATTCACAATGTAAAATGCATTAAATTAAAAATAAGTTTATAATAGTCAAAAATGGTACCCAAAATATCCTTTCAAAATAACAATCTATTAAATGGGTGCAGATAAGTAGTCTATCCTCTTCAAAACAACAAGGTACATACAGATTTATTTCACTTATGCAAAAGAAAAGTTTCATATGAACTGGAGTTTATTTTAAATGTAGCCAAGCTTAGGAAGGTAGCATGAAGCTTTGTGAAGTTATAAATCCCTACAAAATATGACAATCACACTTTCTTAACAAGTTTAGGTTTTTCAAAACATCTTTTCTTAAATACTGGGTGTGTCCCCAAAAATACATATACACACTTTATCAGCTGATAGCTCAATTTTAAAAATGAAATGTAGCCCTAACCGGTTTGGCTCAGTGGATAGAGCATCGGCCTGCAGTCTCAAGGGTCCCAGGTTTGACTCCGGTCAAGGGCATGTACCTTGGTTGTGGGCATATCCCCAGTAGGGGGTGCGCAGGAAATGTTTCTAACTCTCTATCCCTCTCCCTGCCTCTCTGTAAAAAAATCAATAAAATATATTTTAAAAAAAATGAAATGTATTGTAATGAACACTGCCTTTATAATTATTCAAAATGTGGTATACATTTTTTTGGGACACCTAAATATACTACTTTTAGGAACTTTTCATTTTTTAGTGTCTCATGATCGTTTTCAATTTATACTCAACTTGTCCCACTCAAAACCTCAACTATGTGATTTTTTTCCTCAAACTTTACCTACCTGCTCTCTCCTCAACCCAATGTCACTTCCTCATTTTCTTTTATGCCAAAGTGTGCACTGGTATAATACCCCAGAGAAGAAAGTGCTCTCAATAAAAAGGTAGTAGTCATTTTTGTAAGGTTATAGTTTATCTGAATTTTATTAAATGTTGTAAGTCTTTAGAAGTTGGAAAACTTTTGGGTTATATTCTTGCATAGAACCAAACAGGTTAACCATTAAGATAAAAGCTGTTAATGGGTGTCAAATTATATTTGTCAAATATTTCTGCTAATCAGAGACACTGATAGGTAACTTTATTTACCCTACAATTAGCAATTAATTGCCTGCTACTGCACACTCGGCTATGTTTCTTACTATAAAAAGTACTAGCCCTACCCGGTTTGGCTCAGTGGATAGAGCGTTGGCCTGCGGACTGAAAGGTCCCAGGTTCGATTATGGTCAAGGGCATGTACCTTGGTTGCAGGCACATCCCCAGTAGGGGGTGTGCAGGAGGCAGCTGATCGATGTTTCTCTCTCATCGATGTTTCTAACTCTCTATCCCTCTCCCTTCCTCTCTGTAAAATATCAAAATATAAAAAAAAAGTACTAGAAGCCTGGTGCACAAAATTTGTGCACAGGGGGAGGGGGGCTTGTCCCTCAGCCTGGCCTGCACCCTCTCCAATCTGAGACCCCTCAGGGAAGTCCGATCCCTATGGGATCGGGCCTAAACCAGCAGTCAGACATCCCTCTCACAATCCGGGACTGCTGGCTCCCAATGCTCGCCTGCCTGCCAGCCTGATCACTCCCTAACCACTCCCCTGCCAGCCTGATTGACACCTAACTGCTCCTCTGCCAGCCCAGTCGCCCCTAATTGCCCTCCCCTGCTGGCCTTGTCACCCCTAACTGCCCTCCCCTGCAAGCCCGGTCGCCCCTGACCCCTACAGGCTTGGTCACCCCCAACTGCCCTCCCCTGCTGGCCTGGTTGCCCCTAATTGCCCTCCCCTGCTGGCCTGATCACCCACAACTGCCCTCCCCTGCCACCCATCTTGTGGTGGCCATCTTGCGAGGGCATGATGGTCAATTTGCATATTTCCTCTTTATTATATAGGATAGTGGTTAGTTAGGAATGTGGACTCTGGCCAGACTGTTACTTAGACAAGTACTTTAACTTCTCAGTACGTCTTCACCTGTATGAGGGGAATCATAATAGTGCCTATAATATGGTACTATAAAACAGAATTAAACTGTACATTACACATTACCTGGGATGTGAATTCTATAAATGTTCACTATTATAGTTTACATCATTACTATTATTGATGTTATTTCTGTCATGTATGGTACTTAAACCAAGGGTAAAGTTTACTCTGTAGGATTAGCATGCCCCCAAAAATGTAAGACAGAAGAAGGAGTTGTGAACATTAGGGAAGAGGGATCCCAGGACGTGACCAAACACCCAGAAAATTGGTTCTAATAAATCTAATTGAAGCATAGTCTTGCTATGGGAGGTGGAGAAGAGTGAAAACAATCTTAAATTGTAATCACAGGATGATTTCTGTCAGATTAAGCCTTCTATTACAGCCAAAGAAGTTGGATTTAAGAATACAACAAACCTCAGTAGCAAAAAAATACAGAACAATCCAATTTAAAAATGGGCTGAAGATCTGAAAAGACATTTGTCCAAGGAAGAAATACAAATGGCCAACAGGTATGTTAAAAGGTGCTCCACATCACTAATCCTCATGGAAATGCAAATCAAAGCCACAGTGGAGTATCACCTCACACCTCTTTGTGTGTGTGTGTGTGTGCATGTGCGTGTGTGTGTATTTTTAATATTATTCAGCTATAAGAAAGGAGACCCTGCCATTCATGATGACATGGATGGACTCTGAGGGCATTATGCTAGCTAGGTATGATATGAATTTTATGTGGAATCTAAAGAGGTTAAGGCAGTGGTTCTCAATCTTGGCTGCACATTAGAATCACCTGGGAATCTTTTTAAAATCCTGATTTCTGAGCCTCATCCTCCGGATTCTGTTTTTTTGTTATGGGGTGGGGCCAAAACATTAGTAACAACAAAGAAACAGAATTTCCGGAGGATGAGGCCCAGAAATCAGGATTTTAAAAAGATTCCCAGATGATTCTAAATCAGGATTTTAAAAAGATTCCCAGGTAATTCTAATGTGCAGCCAAGGTTGAGAACCACTGTGATAGAGAATTAAATCTATGGTAGTATAATTTTACAATATATAAGTGTATCAAATCAACACGTTGTATACATTAAACTTATACAATGCTATATGTCGTATCTCAATAAAGCTGGAAACAAACAAAAGACATAGGAAGAATACATCCATCTACAAGTCAAGGAGAGAGGCCTCAGAAGAAACTAACCCTGCCAACACCTTGATCTTGGACATCTAACCTCTAGAACTGTGAGAAATAAATTTCTGTTGTTCAAGCCAAAAAACAAAACAAAACAAAAAACAGTACCACACACTTAGTATAAAGTGTAGATTTTAGTCTTTACTCTCAATTTTGAAAATATTTATAGAGTAGGAAACATTTGGAAAAGTATTTTGAAATATCTTTACTTTTTTTGGTAATTCTGACTATCCACATACATATTTATATGCTAGTTCCTTGTATCAGCATTCAACCTAGGTAGAGGTAGAAATGTATACAGAGACCATATACTCAAGTAAACTCAGTAAACTGTTAGGTTAAAACCATTTGTTTCAAATATTGTCCTGACTAGACTGGGGCTGTCATGGCTCATCCAAATGTAAAATAATGCAGATCTGAATAGCTGTGCAGACATAGACTAAAACCTGTTGTCTACCTTGTCACTAATAAGTGGTGAGAAAAGTAAATAAATAGTTTTCCTCCAGAATTTAAGGGAGTTGAAAATGCCAATAATTATAATAAACAGTTTGTTTCACTATATGTATATAATAACACATACACAATAATACATACCTAGCTTATGTCTCCAAAGCAAATTACTTATTAGCACTTGGAAGAAAAAGTAGTTAACTCTACTAAAGGTAGTAAAATTCATCCTGGTCTCTTAATCCTCTTTATTACTTAAATATTAGCATTATCCATATTCATCTATTAATTTAGAGTTATTTAGTGAGATAAGACAGAAGGTGTATTAAAAATAAATAAGGTAGGATGGGAGGCATAGTAAGTGGAAAATTTAAGAGTCATGATATTTATTTCATAAGGGAACTTGATAGTAACAGAAAATGCATTTTAAATAAATAAAAAGTAGGTATCTTTGATTTGGTCAAGATACCTACTATTTAGGTAAACCGTTGCTATAATTTCACTCTGTTATACATAATTCTTCTAGAACTTTACTGTGGTTCCACTGCATAGATATCCTCTCATTGTTTTAAGTGATACCTCTGCAGTTCGGAGAAAAAAAATAGTTTCCCATTTATAGACCATTGCTCATTCACTCAGGAATTCATGTAACCCCCAAAGGTGCTGAGTGAAGAATATTTCTTTTTTGAGATAAAGAAATTGACCCAGAATGTTTTTTTATATTATCTTACTATTCAGTTACTCATAGAATTCCGTGTTATTCAATATATTCTCTTGCTTTTCAAAATATATAATACCTGAAGCCTGACTTTTGGAAACTGACTCATAGCAACTGTCTGGCAGAGCCTTAGTAAAGGAAGTTCACACAGCAAGTACTGTGCATCCCAGTGTTAGTTAGCTAGGTTCCTCTTGAATCCTTCCATGTCTTACAGAAAAAGCAACGAGTCTTCTGTAAACCACTCCCAGGAGTGTGATGGTGAGCACAACCATTCCACACACAAGGCTGAATGCCCATCGTGGGCCCCAGGAAGTGTACACTTGGCTGATGAACACGGGTCCAAGAATCCGTGCTGCACTTCCAGAAGCTGTTAACCAGCCCATGTACACACCCTATGAGGTGGGGATGGGGAGAAGCAGATTGATATTCAAGTTTAGTTATTTTAAAAATAAGAATGATGCTACTATTAAAAAACTATGGGAAACTCATAGGAATCACTTTCTCCATCTTTGATTTGTGAATTACATATAAAATGCATTTTTATAAATACAGCAAATAATGAACAGTAAACTTAATTGATAGAGTCAGCTTAGGAAAAACAAAAGTAGTAGAAAAGAACAAGTTAAATATCTGCTGAGGCCCTGGGAACAATAGAATTTATTAATTTACTTTGTTAGACTAACATTTATTTTCTACTTGCTATCTTCCACACACTGTGTTAGGTGCTTTACATATATTTGCCACTCCCGGGAGTGTGATGGTGAGCAATGTTTATTACTGGTGTCCCTACAAATGTGGAAGCTGAAGCTCAGAAATTCAAGTAACTAACAAGATCTCTGAAGCCATGTGTGCCTAACTCCACTGTACCACCTTCCCACTATACCACATGTCACTCCTCCAATTACTGTGCAGTGCAGCATTACCTTTAATAGTCTCACATTGAAAACCTAACTGTCCACATATCTCACTCATATGTGGGATATAATGATCAACATAATTTGATGAACAAAAATAGATACAGAGACAAATGCTAGGGGAGGGTGTGGGGTTAGAGAGCAACCAAAGGACTTGTACTCATGCATATTAGCATAACTAATGACACAGACACTGGGGCAGTGGGAGCTTGCCCAGGGTGGGAATGGCTGGGGGCAGGGTGTGTCAATCGGGGAAAATGAGACATATGTAAAACTTTAGACAACTTAAAAAAAAAGAAAACCTAACTGTCCATCAGTGGTGGATTAAGTAAATAAATTATGATATATTTAATTAATGGAATGCTAAGCAGTTGCTAAAAAGATTGCAATTGTTACTTTGATATTTTTCTCCATTTTGCTTCTATATTTTAATTTTTATATCATGAATATGGAAATTCTTATAATAAAAACTAATTTTAAAATATACATAGCTGCTGTACTTTTTTTTTCTTTATTAAGGTATTACATGTGTCCTTATCCTTCTCTTGCCCACTCCTTCCCCCTCCCCCATCCCTGCTCATGCCCTCATTCCTGTTTTCTGTGTCCATTGGTTATGCTTATATGCATGCATACAAGTCCTTTGGTTGATCTCTCTCCCTTACCACCACCCTCCCCTACCTTCCCTCTGAGGTTTGACGGCCTGATCGATGTTTCTCTGTCTCTGGATCTGTTTTTGTTCATGAGTTTATGTTGTTCATTATATTCCACAAACGAGTGAGATCATGTGATAATTATCTTTCTCTGTACACTTTTAAGGCTATTGTGTTTTCATCTTTTAGTAATCGTACCTAGGGCCAAATGAAATTAAGCCTACAGTCAAATTTGCCTATCAATTTTCGTTTCCCAACTGTTGCCTAGTTTAAGAATGAGTTTCAGAACTTTATGCTTCAGATATTTTTTTTCTATGAAAATGATTTTGAGCTCATAACCTCTGGGTTCAAGAGAGCTTTGAGTTTTTAGAGTGCTTTTTGTTCAGTTTCAACACACAAGTTCTATAAGTACTTTTTAAAAATTGTCGGGTTTTTTTAATAAATTCAAAATGCTGAATATGATAAAAATCCCCTGTACCAGCTCGTGTGAGAATAGAGAATGGTAGCACAGAATGTCAGTTAAGCATATTTCACATAATTGCAATGCCAGGGTAATTGACTCACCTGAGGTTTTGGTCCCAAAATTTTTGAATATAATGTGTATGACATAACATTGCAGGATGGATAGCCTATTCCAATTAGCACAACTGATGTGAGGAACTGGGCTAGATGGATCATGGGGGTGTAGAGGCACCAGGCTTGTTCAATTGGGCAACCAGTTGGTCCTTCACTCTGATCTTCTCTTGGAGACCGCCAAAGAGTAATAATAATTTCCCCAAATGTGGTAGTATTAGGAATTGAATGATTATGTAAATCTGTAAAAACAAAATTAGTATAGTGCATGACTTATTACTAGATGAATAACAGATGCAATGTAACATTATAGAATTATGTATGCATATACCTTCCCACTGTATCTTGGGAAATTGATTTCCCCAAGGTAACAAGATAAAGAAGCCAATCCATATGATGACAAGTCCTCCCAATAAAATAGCACGCTCACCAATCCTGTTAGAGAACAGAAACATTATAACAGTTTCATTACTTTTATCATTTCAAAAACTATAAATAAAATATTTTGATGCTTTTAGTGATATATCAATTAAATGAATGCTAAATATAATTTCCCACTAAGAACCAGGACTTCTCTAAAAACTGGCTTATTTCAGGTCTGGTACAGAAAAATGTATAAACTGAGCCTGGACATTTACTAGGTGTATCGGTTAATAACACGGATTTTGTAATGAAAGAAAAAATGATAACTTCAAAGAGAAACATCGAAAGTGCTTTATTCAGCCCTGACTGGTTTGGCTCAGTGGATAGAGCGTCGGCCTGCGGACGGAAAGGTCCCAGGTCCGATTCCGGTCAAGGGCATGTACCTTGGTTGCAGGCACATCCCCAGTAGGGAGTGTGCAGGAGGCAGTTGATCAATGTTTCTCTCTCACCAATGTTTCTTACTCTTTATCTCTCTCACTTCCTCTCTGTCAGAAAGTGCAGAAAGTGCGTGCGCCATCGATTGGAACAAGTGGTAATCTGAAGGAGCAAGGTCTGGTGAATATAGCGGGTGGGTTAATGCTTCCCAGGCAAGATCTTTTAATGTGTCTATAACTGGTTTTAAAGTGTGTGATAGGTGCATTATCATCAAGTAAAATTACTTTGCCATGTCTTCTGGCCCATTCTGGTTGTTTCACAATCAAAGCGTGGTTCAAATTGATTATTTGTTGTAGGTAGCGATCAGTATTAATGGTTTCACCTGGTTTTATAAGCTCATAATACACCACACCTTCCTGATCCCACCAAATGCAGAGCATTGTCTTCTTTCTGAAGCGATTTGGCCTTGCAGTCGATGTTGATGGTTGACCTGGATCAACCACGATTTTGTGCGTTTGAGATTCTCAAAATAAATCCACTTTTCATCGCCAGTCACAATTCGATGCAAAAAAGACTTTCATGCCATTGAAGCAAAATTTTACTGATGACTTTGCGGTTTTCCATTTGTCTTTTGTTCAGTTGATGTGGCACCTATCCCTTCCTTTAAAATCTTTCCCATTGCTTGTAAGCGATCGGAAATTGTTTGCTGAGCAACGTTTAATCTTTCTGCAAGTTGTTTTTGAGTTTGACACGCATCTTCATCCAATAATGCTTGTAATTGTTGGTCTTAAAACTTTTTCGGTTGACCTGGATGTTCTTTGTCTTTCACATCGAAATCATAACTTTTAAAGCTTTTAAACCAGCATTCCCATGTATCTTGAGATGGAGCATGTTCACCACAAGCTTCCTGAAGTATTCAGCAGCACTTTTCTTCAAAATAAAGTAATGAATTAAAACTTCCCGCAAATGCTCTTTTTTGGGCACAAAATTCGACATTTTTAAGTGTAAAAGTATCTGTTAACACCTTCAGCAAAATTGACATATGAAGTTTTGAAGCTTATTGTCAATACAACAAAATAGCATACATATCAAATTGCATATATATCAATATATGTGTAACTCCATCTATTGAAAAAAAATCCACATTATTAACCGGTACACCTAGTAGTCATACCAGAGTGCAGAAAAGCTACCAGTGACTACTAGGTCATGATAAAAGGTCTCAGAGCCAATTGAAAGAAGCATGACTATGTGATCACCAAAAAGAATAGTAATGACAATGGACTGAAACACAAAAATGTTATAATCTATGAATTCATATTATATTAAAATACTCTTGATCACTTTTAAGAGGATATTAGCAAACCAATTCTTTATTTTAAAAGCCAGTTAAAATAAAAGGAAAGAATCACCCTGTCTTTCCTATACTGACTATACCTCAGAATAACCAAATAGTTGGCAACAAGAAGTTTCTCTTTATCGAAAATATTACAGCAAATAAATAAAGAAATGATAAAATTAAAATAGCATTTTGCAATGATCTATGAATTAATTAATAAATCTAGGGAATGTCAATGACCACTTACATAATAAAGAGATAAACAAAACATTACATTTCTCCAGATGTAAGTTTATAACACCACCTATAAATTATTCTTGTCAAAAAAATTAAACTCGAGGAGAACCAAGATGGCGGGATAAGGTACAGACCTGGGCGTGCTGCCTCCCACAACAACACTGAAACTACCAACTATAAGACAAAACAGCTGTCATCCAGAACCCTGGGCAAGCTGGCCCAGTGGAAGTTCTACAACTGATAGGAAAGAAGCACATTGAGAATGAGTAGGAGGTGCAGAGGCGCCAAGAACAGAGGTGCGGAGTCACGCGCCAGGCGGGCTGCAATTGGATGCGCGGTTTTTTTCAATCGGAAGGGGATACAAGTTGTCAAATCCACTGAGCTTGTTTGGGGTGGGATTCTGAGGTCCCAGACCCCTATGGGGAGAGGCGGGACTGCCATGCAGCGGGTCAGAGAGTGAGGGTGGCTTTCTCGCGGAGCTGCTCGCTGGCACTCGGGGACGCGGAGTCGCAGAGACGCTGACGACAACCATTGCTGTTTGCTCCGCCCTGGTGATTCTCTGAGACCCCACCCTACTCAATTTACATCCCCACTCAAGCTGTGCCAGTGGCACAAAAGGAACCACCTGCGCTTTCGCAGCCTAACCCAACAAACTGCAGATTTCAACTCCTCACATCCATAAGGGACACACTCAAAAAGCAGAATCAGGTTCGGAGGAACCCGGAGCCAGACTCGGCTGGGCCAGTGACATGGAACCACTGTACCAGCAAACGCACAAGCAGGTCCACCAGATCCAGTCTCACATGGGGCGCCAGGAGACAGCAGACAAGCAGTCTGTGCACTTAGTAGAAAATGAAATCTAACAAGCATACCAGATATTCAGCCAGCTAGAATGCCTGAAGATTTTGTCCAGCAAGGAGCCTCCCAACAAAAGACAGAATGCCAAACTTCATGTTGACCAGTTAAAGTATGATGTCCAGCACCTGCAGACTGCTTTCAAAAACTTACAGCATCAGCGATACACAAGGGAGCAGCAGGAGAAACAGCAAGAGGAGCTTCGGTCTCGCACCTTCACCCACAACATGGGATGCAGCGACCCCTGTGAGGCTGCGTGAGGCTGTGATGGCCCCTGCGAGGCTGCAACGGCCCCTGTGAGGCTGCGTGAGGCTGCGACGGCCCCTGCGAGGTTGCAACGGCCCCTGTGAGGCTGCATGAGGCTGCGACGGCCCCTGTGAGGTTGCAACGGCCCCTGTGAGGCTGCAACGGCCCCTGCGAGGCTCTGATGGCCCCGGGGAAGCCGGCAGAACTGCACGAGCTGCCCAGATGGCTTCGTCGACAGCCCGCGAACCAGCTTGCAGCCCCATGCACAACTATCACCCGAAGGGCGAGAGGGGCAAGAGCAGCTGTAGTGTTGCTTTCTCCTCACTTCTGGTAGCGAAATCCTCATTTTAAACATAAGAGGATACGTTATAGGGCAGAGGGTCGGGTGGGAACTGGGTGGAGGGGAGCTATGGGGGGAAAAAGGGGGAACAACTGTAATAATCTGAACAATAAAGATTTATTTTAAAAAAATTAAACTCAAATCTCATTAAACTTCCAGATCTAAGTATCATTTAATTTTTATTTAGGAAAGATCATAACTAGTTTTGTTTTTCAATGAAATATGTAGACAACTAGTAAGTTCAGTGCAGCAAAAAATTTCTCACTGCCTTTCTAAGTATCAATTTTTGAAAAATAGAGACAGGAAATTTTTTTTTAATTAAAAAAAACACACGATAGGGATTCAATCAGTGAGATACAAAATATGGGAAACTATAGGGCAAATGGTTTCTTTTTTTTAAATAATTCTTTATTGTTGACAGTATTACATATGTCCCCTCCTTCCCCCATTGACCCCACTCCAGCCCACCCTCATCCCCCACCCCAGGCCCTCACCACCCCACTATCTGTATCCAAGGGCAAATAGTTTGTTCAATTTGTAAAGGAAAAAGAGAGAGTGAGGTGGAAAAGATTAGATTAAAAGAGAAGACACTTGAGAGCCTCAATCAAGTGATTAAGCTATGGAACAAAACAAAGAACAAACAGAATGGAAACAGTAGAGAAAATGTGAATACTGCCTGGATATTTTATTTTATTTTATTTAGAAATCACTTAACTTTTATAGATGTGATAATGTCAGCATTAACTTTTAGAGATACATACTGAAATATTTATGGCAGACATGAAATAATGCCTGGGATTGACTTCAAAAGAATCCAGGTGTAGGGGGTAGGGAATGTGGAGGTACAGATGAATCAAAAGTATGCAAGTGTTTATCATTGTTGAAGCTGGGTAATGCATATTAGGATTCAGTGCATGATGCTCTCTGCACCTTTGTATATGTTAGAAATTCTCCACAAAAAGTGAAATATACAAACAAAACCAAAGGCTTCTTGAAACAAACCCAAACTCTTCCCATCTCTCTTAGAATACCACCAAGGATTCACATTTTTCCAACCTGATCTACCTTATTCCTCTCATTCTGCTCTGGCCAAACTGGCCTTCCAGCTTGTTCCTTAAACATGCAAAGCTCAGTCTAATGTGGGAGTAGAGTTCCAAGCCACTCCAAGGCTGCTCTGTGACTTCACTCAGGTCTCTGCTTGGATGTGACCTCCTCAAGCACTCTATCAAAACACCACTTCCCCTCTCTCCCTACCCCCTTCTACCACTCTACTCTCTTCCTCTGTTCTGCTCTTCTTCAGAGTACTTTATCACAACCTGACCTCACCTTTGCATTCATTGGCTTTCTCCCCAATAGAATTCAAGCTCTTTGAAGGTATAGAATTGGACAATCAGTATGAATGCGTATTAGCAGGACAGCTCTACTTCTGTAGCAAGATATAATACATTTACTATTAATTAACTTTGAATATGAATTTGTCATCTATATCTACATCTTGGCCCTCTACTGGGCTTTTCAATGGTATACCCATAACACCCAACCCTACATAATGACTCAATATTTATTCATTGATTTTAGAACTTTACTTGAGTTGTATATTATTAACGTATTTTAGGAATAATTGTTTGATCTGTATAACTTCATCTACTAATATCCCACCCCAGACTATATGAATGAATTTAATTTTATACCAGCATTTGCCCCAAAGTGTGTTCTTTACAGTTGTCCTCATACAAAATGCTTTTTTTTAGAAAGTGTTCTGTGGTCAAAGTTACAAATAACTTTCAGAAATGCTACATGCTGTATTTGTCATGATGGTGATAATAGTATGTATATGCTGAAGATTTAGAGTAAAGAAGTTTGGTAATTTTAACCAGAATTTTCCAGATTTAACCACTGAATCTTTTTTGTTGTGTACCATATATTACCATGCAGCAGAACAATGTTCTATGAAATACACTTTTAGAAATACTTTAAGTAAAATATAATAAACAAATGCTACATTAGAAGGCAATTATTCACTTTGTAAATATATTGCTTTACTAAAGAATATGCCATATGGTTAAGAAATATGCTCCCTTAATAAGCTTTACATCTATTTTCAAATGTTCAAAGACTAAAACTACGACATAAAAAGAGAAAAGCTTTCAATTGTTTTACTAACACATTCATTTACATTAACTGTTACATGTTTCACTTTTTTTTTAAATATAATTCACTGATTTTCTACAGAGAGGAAGGGAGACGGATAGAGAGTTAGAAACATCGACCAGCTGCCTCCTGCACACCCCCCACTAGGGATGTGCCCGCAACCAAGGCACACGCCCTTGACCGGAACCGAACCCGGGACCCTTGAGTCCACAGGCCAACGTTCTATCCACTGTGCCAAACCGGTCAGGGCTACATGTTTCACTTTTAAAATACAGATTGGGAACAAAACCAAAGACATATAACTTACTTTTTGGCAAGTGATTTAACTCCCATGAAAATAATAACAGCCTCAATTCCAAGAGCAGCAAGTATTATTCCATCATATAATACAGCTTGTTCTCGAGTCCAGGCATACATATCCATTGTTAATGGAGTAAGGATGCTGAGAAAAACAAAAAAGAAAGTATTCTCATTTTATTTAAATCATAGTCATTGTTAAAGCTGATATAGAAACTTTAATAATGCTCTTGACACGTTTAAGAATTTGTATCCCTTTTAACAATAACACCAGATCTAAATAAAATAAAAAAATTTTAAAACATTTTTAGCACTTTTTTT